TTACCCACCATATTCTCCAGATATGGCACCATCAGATTACCATCTTTTTCGTTCGCTGCAACACCATCTTAATGGGAAAAGGTATGCAAATGTGGATGTTGTTAAAGAGGACATCAGCATGTTTTTGCTTCAAAGCCAAGTGATTTCTTTAATCAAGGCATTACCAACGTGGTTGTAAGATGGAAAAACATCATCGATAAGAATGGAGACTATTTCATTTAATAATTTGATATATAAGTTGTTCGGGTTTTTCATCTAAAAAAAAGCGACATCAATTTCTTGACGACCGAAAAATTATACTCCAGCACATGATGAAGTGAAATTTCATATCTGCAGTAATCTTACTTGGTTCATTGATGTTACATTATTAACTGGTTTTGATTTTTGTTCAGGCAGTAGGTTGTGACTGATGAAAACCATACAGGAACCACTAAACACAGATACAAACTATGAAACCCACAGTTTTCAATAACTGAAATACGTCTCATAAACTTTATTTCATTGTTTCTCGAGAAAAGAATAATTATTTTTAAGAACCTGGATTGTACAGCTGTTACGGTCAGATAATCTAATAATTATCTCTTTTTTTTTAGCTCTTTTAGGCACACGTCAAGTTCTAATTCTTATATCCAGCTATGACTCTTTACTTAGGTCACAAGCTTATTTGCTCTTGAATTTTGCGCATAGCTAGGCCATTCCATAGAACTTATAATCGTTTGGATATATTTTTGTGTCATCATTTTGGAATGTGGGTCATACTCAACAGAAGGAGTGGTATAGAGGTTTGTACAAGTTAGTATAAACTGGGAATTAATCTCCCCTTGAATATGATCCTTTGTTTTGAATTTTACGGAAAGCTATTCGAGGGCTATCTGCGCTAGCCGTCCCTGATTAAGAATTGATAGACTAGAGGGAAAGCAGCTAGTTTAAAGCCACCCACCACAACTCTTGGACTACTCTTTAGGAGGCTGGACAGACTAGGGTTAGCGTGCAGAACTGCGGATCATAAGACCCAAAGTTAGAGTTGCGATATGCCATTAAACATGTTTCGCATTTTGGGGATGTTATGATTGGGACAGTCAACCCCCGTTATTAGATTAAGAGTAGTCGCATAGGCAGTGCTACTGATTGGTTGCCCCATCTCTTGTCAGAAGTCTAAATTAGAGATAGCTGTGCCTGAATCTTGGGGTCTATTGACTTGGCCGTCCCATTGTTGCATTAGGTGCCGTTCAGGTTGAAAACACCAAATCCATTTGTTAGGAGTGGACACACAAGGCAAAATTCGTACTTGCAACAAATTCACAGTGACGTTACTGCCACATGGGAACAGAGATCATCTGCTTGGTCAGTGCAAGATGCTCTTTGTGACCTTTGATACTTTAGAAACTGTGCGTCTTCTTCAAGGATGAATGAAGGCGCATATTTAGTTTGTATAATCCTGTCAGCATCATAATATTGACGAGTAATTCTAAATTATGTACAGTATTACTAATGGGTTTATATGATCAGCTGATATCTATAAAAGAAACAAACGAATGTGCTCAAATTAATAATTTTGTCTTATATTATAACTTTGTAAAATCTCATTTTTTGACCAAAAGTTTTTTGTTTTTGTTTGTTGGTCATTTGTTACTGGCTTTATCAAACGTTTGCAAAGGTTATATGTATTTTGTATATTTAAATAACTGTAGGGCGTTCTTAATGATCACTAAATAATTTTGCGTTGCTAAAAACTGCAATAATTATGTATTGTTACTATTATTTCATTGTTAGGTCTTTACTGCAACGCTGCCTGGGATGAGTTTTATTGTTGGCCACCAACACCAGCAGGACAGGTTACTTCAAGAACTTGTGCAGAGATTTTTGAAACTTACCATGTTCCTGTACATGCCGAATCAAACGGTAAAATAGGTGTTTAACTATAAATTAGTATTGTGCCAGTCGTGGCCCAGTAGCTAGCGTATCGGCCTGTGGAACGAAGGTCCAAATTTCTAACCCATAATATGCTAGTAAACACGTTCCGTACTTTTAACTGTTGTCGCATTATAAAAGTATCACTAGCCGTATAGGCGGCGGGCAACTTGTTGGTTGCCCTCCTCCTTCTAGTAGGCAGTTCTAAGTTAGGGTCTTTTATGCGTGGTTCTTATGTTTCTGACCTGACCTTTTAGTCCATGTGTTTCGACAGATGCATAAGATTCAGGTTGAAAATATCAAATTAGTAAAGATTTCATCTATACAGACTTTTGAAGTATATAAATTTCATCATAGAAAAAGAGAGACTAATTTATAAGTTAGAAAAATATAAACAAATTATCGTTGGATGTGTATTACCTTAGCAATTATCCTAATTCTGTGAATCAAAACTATGCTTTTACCTTTAACTAAAAAAAAAAAAACTGTCGCATTAGTGATAAAGACTATGCTGATCCTCAGAGGCATTTAGTTATTTTAAAATCATTTTAGCCCCCCAGTGGCACAGCGGTATGTTAGCGGAGTTACAACGCTAGTATTCGGGTTTCGATACCCGTGATGGGCAGAGCACAGATAGCCCATTGTGTTGCTTTGTGTTTAACTTCAAACAAACAAACAAAAATGATTTTAATATTTTTTTTTATTTTCATTTGCCCCCCAGTGGCTCAGCGATAGCTCTGGGGACTTATAACGCTAAAAACAGAGTTTCGTCACCCGTGGTGAGAATAGCACAGATTAAGACACAAAACCAGACGACACCCAGTGTGTTATTAGCAGAAATGAAAGCTTTGGATTTTTCAACCATCCGCATAATCGTCCCCGCTAATCAAAATTCTCCAATTTTGTGTATGGTAGGTCTACCAGGTTACCTTACATTACTTACCAAATTTCATATAAATCGCTTCAACCCTTATTATTTTACAGTAGGACAAACTTAGCCCGAAGTTCTTCGTTTTATTCTTCTCATCAGTGAAAAAACTTTCCATTATTAGAGTTCTTTCGAATTTAGTATTTAGCTGACATATATATCCCCATATCCTGACAGCACATTTAGTTGTAGTAGCTCAAGTACCCTCGGAGATATGGGCAAAAATAAGCAACAGTTGTGCTAAAATCTCTTAATTTTTTTGCGTCGCCTCGAGTAACATTTGCTATCTCGATCACACTGACATTTCTACCATAGTGATGCTACTTTGGGGGTATTCAAAGAACATGCCCCCCAGTGGTACAGCGGTATATCTGCGGAGTTACAACGTTAGAATCCGGGTTTCGATACTCGTGGTGGGCAGAGCACAGATAGCTCATTGTGTAGCTTTGTGCTTAACTTGAAACAAATAACAACAACAAAAATACATGCTTTTTGTTTAGATAACAAAACATATTATTTTGTTGAAAAAGTAATAGTGTATCGGCAAGATAAAATCCATAAAAAATCATGTTATTTGTTCAGACCACAAAACATTCTTTTGTCATACAGGTGCGGCTTACAGAGTATGTGAAAAAGACGCTACTTGGCGGTGGGGAAACTGGACTAACTACACTGAATGTGTTGGGTTACTAAATGAAGTAAGTTTCTCTCATTCTACTTAGCTAATAAGTAACTTAGTACGTGAAAATTCATGAACAACAGTTACAATGTTAAGTTAATAGTTCACTTATTTTCAAACTATGTAATATGTTATAATGAGAAATAGTCTGGAATTTAAGCATGTCTAACATAAATAAGTAAATAAACAGTCATTAGTGGAAAGCGCTTATTTACCTCTCGATACCTAAAAATTAAGGTTTCGGAGCTGGCTAGTCGGGTTCTAATCCGTGCAATACCACAAAATATTCCACACAGTTTAAGCTGTGGATACATTTAGGAGTGACAATCAATCTCTCAGTGTAGGTTGTGGATGATAAGGTGCTGCTAAATGGTTGACTTCCCTCTGGTCAGTAGTTCAAAATTAGGGACGAAATATCTTTACTATGCGATTGCATAATACAAATATTAGTTGCGATCGATAGAGCATTTGTGAGATAGCAAATTTAATATTTATTATTATTATGATTGTGTTTATCGTTCATTTATTATTTCCTTCTATCGTTTAGTTTATCTATGAATTTTAGTTGCATTAAAACGTTAACTCGACTTCTACATAATCATTTGTATTTTGAATAAATATATATGTGTGTGTATGATGAAACTGACACCAGCTTCCCTAGCGGTGACGCACAGAGAAAGAGGTATTGAAGGGTACAGTTACTGGTGTTTGTCACTCGATATTTTTATTGATATTGAAAGGTATTGTTCGAATATCGTACTTGCTGTATTTTTTGGAATTAGGTTTTCTCTTTCTGGTTCTTTTTTCCGGATTTCATTATTACACTGATTTATTAATATTTATGATAAATTGATTATTAATATTGGTGTGAAGTCCTGGCCAGACATTTGTTTATTAACTGTGTTAAATTTATTTTTAAGTGTTGCTATTGTAAATAAATTGTGTTTTTTGTTGCTGAACCCTGATTGTGGCGACGTGTTCGTTTTAGACCGTTACACATTAACTTATTGAAAAAGTCGTCAGCGAAATTTCGAGGTAAATAAAAGTTTTTCTTTAATAATTGGTTGCTCCTTTTTTGTTATTCTTGGTATATTATTGAAACATACTAAGTTTTGTTTTATGGAAGACGTAATATGAGGACTGAAAAAAAGACATAAAGATGTAATCAACTGAGGGGAAGCAGAATTTCAGTATTAAAAACATTTTTGTAACTTTTAATCGTAAGAAAGAAAATATTAATACCGTTTAATGATTGTGGTTTGGTAAACACCCTTTTCTTTTTTTCCTTTTTTTTTTGTTGTAGGATTCGACATCAGCGCCTCTAGCGGTTGGATATATTCTCTTTATCTGTTCTGTGTTGTCGCTGATAGCTTTAGTCGTCACTCTCTTCATATTTTGTTATTTCAAGTATGTGCAAACGTTTTTGTCGAGAATTTCTGTTTTTAATCTTTTATAGTATGTAATTTTGTTTCTAAAAATATTAACTAAGTATCATTAAAAATTCCTCCTATATATCTATAACAGTATTTCGTGACTAAGTATTTCTAAACATCTCGAGTAAAAAAAAAAAGCTTATTCTGACAAGAGTTAAAAATTTAAACCATGTTTATGAAGTCAAAATTTGCATTTCTTTTGTCACTTTATAGATCAACCTTAACCATAAATAAAGGGCCATTTACAAACTACGGAAACGCCTGCAAATTAGTTATCATTTCCCTGTTGGGAGATTCAAGAACTAAACAACTCTCGTCATAGAAAATTGGATTGCGCTGACTGAGCTTGTAAAACAAACCAAAACCTTGATTTGTGGCTGGAGAGCAATTTCATGTTTTTTGTTTTATAAAAATAGTCATTGATACCGCGAAATTGCTAAACTATATGTAGTCAAATAACACAGTATTTTGAAAGTGAAACACTTGAATGTTCTCTGTGCAAGCGGAAGAATTCCGACATCAAAATGTTTAGGGCAGCAACGTGAAGACTATCGTTACGAAACAGAATCGTCTGACCCAAAAAGCCATTGCAGTGAAGCTACACCTATCTTTCGTTACCATTAATTAGATGATAAACAGTATTTGAATTGATGAAGACTTGCAAGCTACATCTAGCGACCTCTGAAATCAACGGCTGATTTCATGAAAAAGATAGCTGAATAAACTGGAATAACAGTAATTCTGTTCGACCATATATCTGCTAAGTCCAAGGCTGAAGTTTGGTACTTTTAGAAGTTATAGATTTTAGACATCAGCCGGTCTAGGAAAGCTGCACAAAATGAAAGACAGAGACATTAACATGGTCGTTCTCCAATAAACCTAATTTCCCAGAAACATCGCTGAAGACCATTGTTAGGACACAGACAGAACGGAGAATATACAATCTTCATGTCGAACATAATCACCGTTTCCAAAAAGTGTAGGTGACTTACTGTATACAGAAAGCATTCTCACATCTATTACTAATATAAAGCGCTTAAAATTATTGTTAGCGTTTATCCTGGAATACTCTGTTCCCTCACTACAAAGCTAGGTCGTAGCGCAACTACCAAAATGCGAGTGCACTGGCAATTTAAAAAGTATTCAGAGCCAAACAATTGCTTTGTCTTGACTCAGAAATCCTATATTATGTTATATATCTTCTATACTGATTAACAGGTGTAAAGACCACAAACACAAATAAATAATTCCATATCCATATGACCAGAAGGTGCATTTGTAATCTTGTTTGTTTTAAAAAGTATACGTGTGTATTTTTGCGTTATGGTTACACATATCTGTACGATAACTAACCTGAAATGCAGACATTACAATCGTTAAACGTTCGATAAGCCATATGTTAGTTAGTTTTTCCAGCTTTGTTGTTTTAATTGTTACTAGTGGCATTTGAACTCGGTTATATAAGTAAATGTTTTTATGGAGTTCGTTTGTTTCATAAAACAGAAAGTCATTGGTCAGTTATAATGTTATTTATAGTGCTTAATTATTATATCAATTATTGATTGGTTAGTTAATTGATCATTAGAAGTCAGTAAAAAAAATGCTTATACGTAGGGCTTTGATATTTCGTTATTTACTCTTTCTGTGGACGTTTTTATATACATAGTTGTAACGTAAACTAATGCTTTCTTGTTTGAAACGTCCAGCATTTATGCTCTTCAAATTACCTGGTCTAAATCGTTCTCGTTGCTGATATGACAGAGAATATCGATTGGCATACAAAATATCAACAAAAACAAACGCTTTGATACGTTTAGAAAGCCTCTGATGATCGTACAGTGCTGTTAACTTCTTAGCAGTGTGTAGATATCTGACATTACAAGCACTTTTAAACTCATGAGAGAAATTTGTGTATCGTCATTATCATCACGTTACTTGCTCCTCAAGTGGAAACAACACCTTGACTAGAACAAAGAACAGTTTGTAACGTCAGCGGAGACTTTAATCCTTAAAACAATTGAATCACCAGTAACATTCAGTGATGTCTTTCCTTCTTCTTGAATCGGATGAACTAGTGGTCATTTAGTTTTAATTACAACCCAGAGGATTAAACTAATTAAGATTAGAAGATTACTAATTCCGTTACAAGCGTCTTTCCAAAATCCTGATTTCTATGCTTCACTGAGTTATCTAGTTTGCTCAGCTGTCAGCAAGAATCATATAGAGTCAAAGCATGGAACGGATGATTCTTTGATAAACTATACTGACTGCTCAATGAAAGAAGTAATACACTGTTTCATCCATGATCTCACGCTGCTGTACCTTATGAAACTTTTAATGTTTTGTTTTTTCGTTTCACATCTAATTATATTAAAGTTGACTGTATAGTGGATGTATTAGTTTTATATCACTATATACAAGCTTACATATTTGAATGATTTGACATTATTACTTGGTCAATATAGAAGAATGAAACACGTGTAACTATTATTCCAGAAGAGAAATAACTGCATTAATTAACAAACGCAACTTTAAATTCGTTGTGATTAGTGTATAAAGCAATGCAAATGAAAACATTTTTGAAGGAAGTCAAAACTTAATTTGCCAAACAAAATTTGTTGCGTTTAATTCATATATATATATACGTATAGCTATATAGGCGTGGGAAAATCAACTCAAACGAGGACAGGTAGAGACAGTAAGTAATTAATCATGCTCCTCACTTTGTTATGAGGAAAGTTATAAATTATATATGCATAAATCGAATTGACTCATGACTCTGTACACTAAAAGATTGTGGTATTTACAATATCGTGTATGCATCGTACCAGTTTTACGATTCATACGACTTTCATTAGATAACGTGATAAGTGTACCTGCTCAATTTCAGATCCCTACACTGTCAAAGACTACGAGTTCATCAGAACTTGGTTGTTGCTTTAATTCTTCACTCTGTTCTTCTCATCGCAATCTCGTCCCCAATGGTTCTCAGTGATGCACTGTCTACATATGCAGATATCGGAGATATCGTAAGTGACAAAAAATAAAAGTGTATCGTTTATGTAATGACTATGTAAAAAAGGTATAATGTGCATATAAAAGCTAGGAAAAGTATATCATGTATGTAATAGCTATGTACAAGTAAGACTAACACGTGCCCTAATAACCATATAAAAGTAAGTACATACCACTTACATGACTTTTATTATTTTCACACCTTTAGATATTTACCAGCAATGTTCTGTTTTCAATATGTGAATTCTCACATTGTCGACAAGGGAAGTGTTTGTTAGAATTACACCCCCAAGTACACCTTTTTTACTAGTGTTCTGTGTGTATAAGACAGTTACCAAGTTTCTCAAAGTTAGTGTGTTTTAACATCTGTATTAGATACTCAGAATATACTTAAGGCTATCCTGTACCTAATGTTGTGTTGAACGTTTACAGGACTGGCTCTGTAAAACCATCTTATCCTTAAAGATGTACGCTGCTATGGCTAGTGTTAACTGGATGTTCGTGGAGGGTTTGCTACTACACAGCCGAATTACAGTGTCAGTATTTCAGCAAGAAGCTCCTTTCAGAATCTACTATCTCATAGGATGGGGTAAGTCACATCTTATGAACAGTTGTACTATCAGGTTTCTCTAATTGTTTGTGTTGATGTGTACTAATAAAACCCCAAATCCCAACATTGAACAACTATACACCACCATATTGGAGCTTTAACTTCCTTGTTTGCACGTAGCATGACTTTATTGTTTTTATTTATAAAAATGTTGAATAGATATGTACCATCAGATTTCTCTAATTGTTTGTGTTGATGTGTACTAATAAAACCTCAAATCCCAACATTTAACAACTATACACGACAATGTTGGAGCTTTAACTTCCTTATTTGCATGTAGCATGACTTTATTGTTTTTATTTATAAAAATGTTGAATAGATATGTTGGATGTTTTGGTAGATTTCAATGCTTTAGGTTTCGATACGGAAAGTCTGTTAGACTTTCCATGTCTCCAAGCTATAAAGATACGAATTCTTTTTATTTTTTGAGAAATATCTCTGCAAGTTTTAACCATAATAAAGCCACATTTTCAGTTTTCACTTTACTAAGTCATTGAATAATATAAACAAGAAAAGTATTACCCAATCTTAAAGTAATTTGTAGGATTGTTATACAGTCTAACATAATAAAATCAACAGTATAAAATAAATATTTCCAGGTAATCCTAGAACTATAGTTTTCTAGTTAATCGCAGGTTAATGTTATTATACTGAGCCGTTTCGTTTCAAATAAAATGTGGCATATTTGTGGACTATTAATCCAGGCTACAACAGCCTTGCTGGTCAGCAGAAACGTGGATACAAATCATCTCCGACCTCAGACTTTACTTAAGCAGAAAATTTAGTTAAGTCATACAAGACATGAAAAATAATGAATCAAAAGGACACCAGTGAAAGAAATCACATACGTGTGGAATTCATAACACGAACATGCTAGTGTTTACATATATTGTTCCAAACGTAACTTCCTTCCTTGCAATTAATATCTATTAGTTTGAAATTTATGTTTGCTTAAAACAACTTCAAATATGTAAGAAGAGTTGCTGGTAGGAGATTGTAACAGAAATACGTGACCAATAATTACACCTTTTCTTTCTGCCTTCTCCTTGCTTTCGACTTAGCAGCGTATCTTTAGAACATTATATCCTGCGACATTTTTTCCAGGAATAAGATCGAAGCACACGCCCAGTACTTCGTGCTGACTTTATAAGTCTCCTCCAGCGTAAAAGTCAAAGTATATTCTCAGATACAGTTGCCAAAAATACGGTAATTGCTATATCAGATCTCATATGGATAATTGAACTGCTCTGTTAAAACGGGATTGTAATTTCTTGAAAAGTTTTACAGCGTCACTTCCTTCGTTATTGTAAAATCTTACAGAAAGTCGAAGTGCAAAACGAATTTTTCTTTTCAATCATATTACCTTTTTATACATATATATGTATACACAGCGTGATCACAAGTAAATAGACACCACCTTTTCAGAAAAAATTAAATTTTTCAGTCATGTTCACATGAATTGATATATCTATAATTTAATTAATATCTAGTAGATCTTCCTTTCGCTTCGTGGAGTTCGTTGATCCTTTGGGGCATCGTGAGAATCATCTCGTCAATTTCAGATTGTGGGATTTTCGCCCACTCTTGCTTCAAAACTTGGATTAGATCACTCTTCGAAGTTTTTTTTTTTTTTGGTTGTTTCTT